ATTCAGGAGCATGAAGACAATAAAGTGTCAGTCCTTACAAGTCGATACGATGAGCGATTGACTGAGCTTGGATTTCATTTCTATGCATTTAGGCCTTATTTGGATGTAGTCGGATTCACATCAATCCACATATGAACTTGAACTAAATTCAATCCTAATCCACCCCAACACATGTGGATTGAGGTGAATCCAACAACATCAAACAAGTCCTTAGATGAGTAAAGAAGCAATTCAAACAAATGATCAATGTTATCGGCACCTGGATCTCTAGACGATCTTTGGCCCGACGACCCTTCTGCCCTTGAAAGCTCCGGTAAGGAAGCATCGCTGGTGTGCGTTAACTCCATTTCTAGCAAAGCATTAGAGAAAGAAGAAGCGCTCTTGAGAAATGGTGGAGAATAGATCTAGAAAGTAGCAAGACCTATTTGAGCTCCTCAAGATCCTATTGAAGTCTTCGAGGGGAAGACTACGTCCGGCTTTAGGGTTAGACTATATAGCTTAGGATTTGAAATTTTTAATAGGTTACGCCGAACGCGCAACACGAAAGAGGCCAGTCCATGTCGAATAGATGTTTCGCGTTTAACCACTCTGGCATTGCTTAATACAATACACGCGTTGAACACCTGTCAATTCATGTTTAGAGCATCTTCAAGAGATGTTCTAAATCTCTTCGCAAAACCCGATTTAGCTATTTAGGGGTTAAAAACATGTCCAACAGCTTCTCCATTGCCTTCTCTAAATTATCCCGTCCTATATCCGGTGAATTACGCTTGCAAGAAAAAGCAAGTGACGCTCGCTCGCCATCCTGCTCTCGGCCTCTCTCCCGCGCCCTAATCCTCCAGCCCTTCCTTTCGGGGGTGTGCTAGCTGTCGACCGGTGGCGGGAGAGGCACCCCACCAACCCCCTCCCCTCCCCTCAAAAAAATTCCTCCCTCACTTCCTTCATTAAATTGGGCCCAATTCAGTTGTCTTCTTGGGCCAAACAGCAGGCAGCAGCCATGCAGTAAAAGCCAAAATTGCTGACATCAGCATATATCCCATGCTTTTTGAAGTAAAAAAAAGTCATAGCTACTAAACCAAGTATCATAATTAAAATCCGATTGCACCATGGTCTTCCTTGCAATAAACTCTTCAAAACAATACCCTAGATAGATATATTTTGATAAAAATTTTAACGAACATTTATCTCATGATGAACCTATACTGAAAGATAATCGTTGAACATCACATTAACACTACACGAATATCGCAGAAAATAGCATAGAACATCATATGTATACTACGCGAATATCATATATATCATAAAATATAAAAAATAAAAATAAAATTAGTGAAGTAATTAATTATATCGTCAAATAAAAAGAAGAAAAAATGCTATCGACCATCACAAATACATCGTAGAACATCAATTAAGACTACACGAACATCGCTAAATATAGCATAGAACATCATATGTATACTACGTGAACATCACAAAAATCATGAAATATATAAAATAAAATAATAAAATTAGTGAAGTAATTAATTAGAGTCAAATAAAAAGAAGAAAAAATGCTACCGAACATCACAAAAAATATTCTAGAACATCAATGTATGCTTACTTAGCATCACAAAATACATTGTAGAAGATCACATTTTTACTCGTGGACATCAGAAAATACAACATACAACATTACATGTATACTACATAAACATCACGTGTGTCTGTAAAATAAAAAAAGTGAAACATAAAATTATAAATTGAAAAAAGGAAATAAAAAAGAATAAAATATGAAAATAGAAAAAGGAAAAAAGAATAATAAAAAGACCACCGGAAAAGAAAAATGAAAAAGAAAGAAAAGGAAAAAATAAATAGAAGAAAAAAAAGAAAAAGAAAAAAATAATAAAAGATGAAATTAAAAACAAAGAGAAGAAAATAAAACTAATAAAAAATAAAGCAAAATAAAAAATCAAATAAAAAGAAAATAAAAAAGAACAGTGAGAAAATAATTAATTAGAGTAAAACGAAAATAAATAAAAAGGAAGAATAAAACATCACAGAGAAAAGAAAAAAAAAGGAAAGGAAAAGGAAAAGGAAAGAAAAAAAAAGAAATAGAAAAGCAGAAAAGGAAACTTACGTACCTAACTCACCGGACGGCTGCATGTAGACGGAATCCCGCGCGCCGGTAGCTCCACCTATGGGCCACGCTCGCTTCCACAGATAATGGGCCGCGTTTGTGGGCTGCTTGCTCCAGCGTGGGGGGTGGTCGGCGCGCTGCTGGCGGCCACCCTGGTCGGCGCCGAAGATTTCCGCTTCCTTCCGCCAAGAGTGCTGCAGCAGCTTGCAGGCCTGCAGTAGTCCCAGCGGTACGGATATTTATTTGACCGTCCGTTCGACCGAACACATATGAATACTTATCTGGATAGTTACTTGGATATCCGTAATTTTTTTCGGATACGGATAATAAAACGGATATCTTAGGCGGATATCAAATACGAATGTAATATCATCGATATCCAGCGGATATCGGATAATCCGGTTAAGTATCGGATATATCCGGATATTATTCAAACGGATATTATCCGGATATTATTCAAACAATCTTGGATGGAGAAATGATCAAAATAAAAATTGTAGATCTCAAAAAGTTATGAAACTTTGTTGTTTACAACTTTTTCATTTGAAATCATTTAGTGCTTCAAAATGCTATTTGAATTTCAATTTCGAAATGGTTAAAGAACGCCTATTTCTCTTTTTAATCTTTGGCTAAAACTTGTAACTAGTTTTTCTCCCTTGTACTAACTTCAAATTTGATAAATTTTTTTTCTAAAATTTTCTAAAATCATGTTCTATCAATTTATTGTGTTCTTATAGCTATTATTGTGTTCATCTTTTCATGTGACTGTATTTTATCTATTTGAATTTTGAATTTCAAAAAATAGCAACTTCAAACGTCATTTTCAAATATTAAATGACTTCAGCTGAAAAAGTCATGAACATAAAAGTTGTAAAACTCATCAAGATCTACAACATTTATTTTGGTCATTTGTTCATCCAAGATTGTGGTAGTAACATTGTTCACAAAATTTACATCTCTCTCTTGTAGTTTCATAAACTATAAGAGAGATGTATGAGATTCGTGAATAATGTTACTACCACTATGTCGGATGAACAAATGACTAAAATAAAAGTTATAGATCTCAGAAATTTATAAAACTTTATAGTTGAAAACTTTTTAATTTGAAATCATCTTGTCAAGGAAAACTACGTTTGAATTTCTCAAATTTAAAATTTGGATTTTTCAAACGACCTCGGAATCTCAGATGGAGAAACAACCAAAATAAAAGTTTTAGATCCCAAAAAGTTATGAAACTTTGTTGATTATAACATTTTCATTTGAATTTGTTTAGGGCCTCAAACAATCATTTTTTGCTTTTTTGTTTTTTTTTTTGTCTCGAATTGTGATTTTTGGAATTGGGCCAAAATATTACTTCTTGCCTAAACGGCCCAATCCTCCATAACCCTAGCTAAGCTAGCTGGCCCATATATAAGTTCCCACTTTGAGATATATATATATATATATATATATATATATATATATATATATATATATATATATATATATATATATATATATATATATATAGGACTGCGCTAGTTAGCACCTAGGGTACTGATTATTATTCAGTACCCGAGGTCATCCCCACGCCCGCAGACGACGCACGATCGCCCGCGGCCCGCCTAAGCGATGCTCGTTGATATTTTTTTCGTGCCTGTTGCCTACTTACGCCTGTGTTTCTGGCCCGAAAGTCCGAAGCCAAGCATCGGCCCTTGAGTACCTCCTGTCCGCACGCACGAATGAAGACCGCGTTCCCTGTCCCACGTTCGGAACCGTCGCTGACCGCGTTCCCTGTCCCACGAGCGAGGAGAGACCGCCGAGCAGCCCGTACACCTGGCGACACCCGCCACGGCACCGACGAGGCCACTATTGGGGGCACCTCGGACGGGCGGCGGCGCGTGAAACGCGCGAGCTCACGAGAAGCGGCGCGTGTATATTGCGAGTCTACATTAGATTAGAACAGTAAAAGAGAGATTAGAAATTTCTGTAAAGCCATTGTTTATCAGTGTTTAGAACAATACAAGGACATGAAAATCGGCCTTACAAGATTCTTCAGTATCTGTGCCATCGATTGTATTTTGTGTTCTAGCTGATCAATGTAAGTCATATGGTCAAGGGAGTAACTGCTTCACGGGCACTCCTTTTACTTGATGAATCCAATTCAGGCGCAGGTGTTTCCTCTGCAGTAGTAGGACTACTGCCATTTTCTGTTGCTGTTCCATTATTGGATACAGGTGCTCCGAACAGCTATACGTAAACACATATAGCTGTTGTTCTGTATCGAGTTTTTGCAAGTCAGTAACGATGGTTCCGGACTTGCAGTTGATCCATTTATATGAGTAAAAGAATGTACTTTAATTCAGTAACTATGTTTATCTTTCACGATTTTCTATAGTATGTATAAAGTATCCTTGGCTTACTGAATTATTCTTGCATACTTATTTCCCATTTATGTCAGCTTGAAGGTCCTATAGTCGTATCATATTTGAATGGTTACTGGATGTTACTTCAAGATGAATTATAAGTTAAACATTATTGATGTTTAGTAGTTCCAAAGTTGGTGTTAACTGTTCATGATACATGATCATCTTCATAGAAAGCTGAGATTTCTTTGGTACATCATTTTTAATGACCTACCTGGCACGATTTGTGACCAAATTAAACAAGCTGAGTGAACGAGATGAATTTTATCTTGTGGAGCAATGCTTCTGGGTGATGTCTTCACTTCTTCACTTGTAGTGGATGGGATCAGAAGTAATAATGTGTGCTTGTTTTATGTTTCACATAGCCTTTATTTATGGCTATGCAGTAATCCTTAAATGTTTCTGTGATGTTTCTCAGATTAATGATTATTTGAATGAATCGAAGCTTCGCCACTAGTCAGTAAAGTTATTAAATCAGAATGGGTTGCCGGAAGCAGCTGTTTGGAGAGAAGAGCAATTGTAAAGGGGTTGTGACTGAATCGTCAGCATCGCAGACAATGCACACAACTAATGTGGCTGTGGCAGATGGAAGATCAGAACAAGATCACGATGGGTTACCGGCATGCATTTCAGAAGGTGGAACATCATCGTGCACACCAGGCCGTAACGAGGATGTTGTGGCTGGCATTTCAGAAGCCGGAACATCATCCAGCAGAGGCATGTTCTCACCAATGGCAATAGTTACAGAAAGCGAGAACGCTACACCAGATGCCGAAAAAGAAGTACACACATGTGAGTAGCTTGTTTGTGACATTTGAATAAGAAGTTCGAAGATTATGCTATGTGAATATGAAATAAAATTAGGTTTCAAAATTACCAAATGATCAAAGTTGTGATGATGGGATTCAGAAAATAGAGCTGAGAAGTATTCAGACTTGAGAAATAATGAAAAAAGTAAATGTACAAACTTGACATAAGCTGTAATGTGCATGCTTACAATATTTAGATTGAGGAACCAGACATGTTGAGGTCTTATATAGGCTGAAATTCACTGTAATCTATTTTGACTGAGATAAAAATTCGAGCAATTTTGCATTGCCTCTTGGTGGAAAATGGAAATATCTAATTGCATATGTTGTATGCAGAAAGAAGACATTGATCCTGCCCTCATTCCTAGGCCTGGGATGTCATTCAGAAACCGAAAAGAGGCCAGGGCTTTCTATGAAGCGTACGCCGAGGAGGTTGGATTCAATTTGAGCTATGGAAACAGTAAAACATATTCATATATTATACAGTGCAGCAATGAGGGGGTTCATACTTACTTTAAAAAAAATGAGGAGCTGCGTGTTAGGAACAATACCACAAAGAAGACACTGCATGTCGAAGATGAAGCTTAAAAGAATTTATGATGAAAACAAGAATGAAATATCAGTGGTGATTGAGCAAGTGGATCTAATGCATAACCATCCATGTCTTAAAAAGAAAGAAGAAATAATAAATATGAGATCACACAAGGAAAAGGATCCGGTATTACTTGAGTTTGTTGATGACCTCCAAGCAGCGGATGTCCCGCATCATAGTATACAGAACATTGTTAGGGACATGCATGGGGGAGGTGAGAACGTGCCAATGACCAGGCGGGATCTTGAGAACAGGTCAGTGTGTGCCAACTCTTATACCATCCAGTAAATAGGTACTGTCGATTACATCTGTGTAATAGTAACAAATTTTTCAGGAAGGCGGCTAATGTGAGGGCAGAACATGCCAATGACATTGCGAAGCTTCTAGAATTCTTTGAAGACTGCAAGGCGCAGAACCCACAATTTTGTTGGTATGTCAAGATCGATAAAGAAGGGATGATTCATAGCTTATTCTGGAGTCACGCTAGCATGCAGGCAGAATATATTGATTTTGGAGATGTGATGACATTCGACACCACGCACAAGACAAATATATATGAGAAGCCACTAGCTATGTTTGTGGGTGCAAACCATCACCTACAGAACACATATTTTGGATGTGCGCTGTTAGGCGATGAGACAATAGAAACATTCCAATGGGTATTTCAAGCTTTCAAGAAATGCATGGGAAGACATAGGACTAGGTGCATTATCACAGGTAAAGTAAAACTATTTAAAAAAGTGGAAAACACCTTGAAGGTAGAATGAAAAACAATTTCAAGCTGTTTTGGTAGTATTAAGTTAACGATCCTCATGCTCCTATGAGTGGTCACGAGAAGTAGGTGCTACCGCAGGGTTCTTAGAAGGGGGATGACTTGCATCTGAATACCAAAAGGACCAGAAAAGGAAAATAATAAACAACAAAGGTAGATGATTTTAAGAATAGAAGAATCTTGTGAGCTTTCAGAACAAGATGAAAAGTGTTAATTAACAAAAGGACAAGCCAAGTGGAATCAAAAGAATAATGGAAATTTAAGATAGCAAAATTTAAAATCCATGAATATTAAATTATTCTCAAATTATGTGTACATACATCAGATCATATAAATATAAATAAAAAATCATAAACAAGATTAGATAAGCTGTAAATGAATGTATCTAATTTTGTCTAGTCATTTGTAAAATACTAACTCCATACTGCAATGATTAAAATTATAGTACAGCCATTCCCTTTGCACCTCTATTTCGTGAAGCCGATGCAGATGTTCTACCAGGAGAGGAGGGTAACCTCTCGCCTTGTGGCAAAGGGACCTCATACCTAAATGGGAAATTATCACATTAACTGAGAGAAAAGCAGATACAACAAATGGAAAAGGCCACTAAAATTAAAAAAAAAAAACATGTACTGACCGCTGTTGAGTGCTCTCAAATACAAGCCTTTTTGGGTTGTCAGGCATCTTATCAACTAGCTCCAACCGGATTCTGAAGTCAATGATTTAGAATGCATTTAGAATACTGCATTCGTATACTCTACAACTTAAATTTACAAGCTCACTCCACAGAACAATGTAGTTGCAACTGCTGAGTCAATGTGAATCAGGACCTTTTCCAGCATGGGTCTGCAAATGCAGAATAAATAGAATTGCTTTATTAAACTATAATGACGCCATAAATAAAAAATACGTGTATGATCTGAACAAATAAAAACAATGCAAAGCTGAATCAATGTGTGTGGTTTAATCTGTCTTATGTCTTCTTTTTATTAAGACACTAATTGAGTATGAGGCATACACACGCGCGCGCAAACACACAACACTGTACCATCACCACCCATGTACATGTGCACCTAAACCCAATACGAATTTATCAGAGGCATCTAAGGTCTCAAAGGGTGTGGGTACATGCTTTGCAACTGATTACTGATGCACCAAGTCAGGCTGGTGGGCTGAGTGCACACCCGCACTGATAAAAATGAAGACCTTGATGTTGAGAGCTAAACACTTCCAAAAGTCAGCTGCCTAGCCTGCTTGCTATTTCTAGAATGCCACATAAAGATCGCTGGTAGAATATCTTGTCAAGTTCATATCCATGTATTTGACCATCTAACTTGTGAGACTGTAACGATAGGAAGTTTTTGTGCCTCTACCTCATGCTTACAACTGCAGTTATATATTGTACTCAGAAATAAATTTGAAGGGTTCAAATTATAGATGCTATAAGACAATGTGTGGGGTGAGACATTGTAGCTTCTTCAATTAAGGGGCTAAGAGGCTGAGTTTCTATCCTAAACCCACGCGCTGTAAAAGGATATTAGAGCGTTCAGAGACATTCATAATTTGATAGCTGGGCCTGTACATTTGACAGATGATTTACTGATTTAGTAAAGATCACTGGAGGTAGACAGCTGTGACTAATGTCTGAACTCAGGGTAGATGTATTGCTGTGCAGTTTCTTGTGGATTTACTGTATTGTGTTTATTAATTCCAAGGTATTGAACACATGAATACTGATGGGAGCACTTGTTGAACTACGAATACATGATATGTTACTCTTTTCAAATGAAGCAACTAGTTCATGATGGTAAATAAAATATTTCACATGGACATTGAGGGACCTGTGATTCTGATTAAACACAAGTATGGAGAATATATTATTTCTTAAAGACTGGATATCTGTAATTGATTGAGGCTGAATATAATATCATCTTCATGATGGTAAATAAAATATTTCACATGGAAATTGAGGGACCTGTGATTCTGATTAAACACAACTATGGAGAATATATTATTTCTTAAAAACTGGATATCTGTAATTGATTGAGGTTGAATATAATATCATCTTCTAAAGTTCTAATATTGAAACACACATTGTTTTCAATGACTTCGGAGCAGCAAAGCATGGTGTATAGTTTCATACTTCCATAATGTGCTTGCCTTTTAACAAAGAGTACCCATATCAGGGAATCTAATAGTGAAACCAATTTGACACAAAATTAATGGGAACAACAAAGCGAGATACATGAATAAGGATATAAAGGAAACCTGAGGGACCAGGCGGCTCCATCCCAAATGATGCAAGCTCGGCAATCAACGAGTGTAATCGGCAATCAAGGGCCGGCGCGATGAGTCTGGGAACGCACAGCGCAGGGAGCGGCGCGGCAGGTACGGTGGCAGGGGCAAGCCGGCCGAGAACGCCAGGACGGGAGACGCGATGCGTCTGTGGCCGCACAGCCCTGAGCGGAGACGCGGCGGGACGCTGGGGAACGCCGGCCAAGAAGGCCCGGCCGGGCGGCGCGCTGCGTCTACGGCCGCACGGCGCTGGGGGGCGGCACGGCGGATATAGGGGTAATTATTGGTTTATCCTGTAATTTACAAGATCATATCAAGGAAGCACTAATGTATCTGAATACTCTTCTCACAATGGTATAGCTTAAAAATGTACAGCTGACTGCATTTTAGAAAACAATGAGATGCCAGCATAGCAAAGGAACTGCTTCTTACAACGCTGAGCGGCGACACGGCAGGGCGGGACGCTGGAGAAGGCCAGCCGAGCACGTCCGACCGGGGGGCGCGCTGCCTCTGCGACCGGGCGGCGCTGGAGGGAGGAACGGCGGGAGAGGCGTCGGAAGGGAGGTGCCGGCGATGGAGGGAAGACGGCGCCGCTTCCCCGCTGACCACGTGCTCCAGGTGAAACGGCGTCGGAAGGAGGTGCCGGTGATGGAGAGAAGGCGGTGCCGCTTCCCACGCTTCCCACGCGCTCCAGGTGAAGCCGAGCGGACGCCGGACTGAAGAAGGCGACGGTGAGCTCGGCTCCAGGCGAAACCGAGCGGACGCCGGACGGGCGAAGGGCGACGGCGAGCTACTCGTGCTGCGAGAGCGGCGGCGACCTGGGGTGTGCGAGCTGCGGAGGCGCGGGTTGTGCGATATGGGGCGTGCGATCTGGGGCGTGCGGGAGCTTCGGAGGCCGCTGAAACCAACTCGAGTGCGAGATTAGAACGGGGAAGCGGCGCCGGGATCGACCTGATTGGAATTGAACCGCAGAGAACGTGGGCAGTGGGTTGGGGAGCGGTCATCGAAAGGCCGGGCCGGGTGGCTGAGCCAGAAGGCCGCCCCAAACCCCTTGACGTAGGCGCGCGGAGTCTGCGGAGGACGGTGAGCCAGGCGCGCGGTGGGAGGCTCGGGTACTAATTAATATTCAGTACCCAGGTTATAATATAGAAATACTATATATATATATATATATATATATATATATATATATATATATAGCTGCTTTTACTCAATATCCGAATAGATATTTGTATCCGACCTTCTTCGAATCCGATTCATACCGTATTCGATACTCATCATTCGTATCCGTAACCGAGTCAATCCGTATTCGTATATGTATCCGAACGCTATCCGTGTCCAAATCCGAATCCGAACAGAAATATGAAAACAAATATAATATGAGTGATATCCGTTCGTATCCGATCCGTTTTCATCCATAGTCCCAGCACGCACTCCGGTCAGCTAGCACCAGAACCAACTTGAATTCATTGCTTTGAATCTCAGATAACTACTACTGCTAGTATCCTTCTTTCTCAAGAGTCCAGAACAAGCACTGGCATGACCCGTTCAAACTTCTAGAGGCATCTAAACATGGAGAAGCTGTTGTGGTGCGCTTGAGTTTTTTTGAGAGCCAAATATTTTAGAGAGCCTCTAAATCATGGTTTTTGGAGATTAGAGTCTCCTGGAGATGCTCTTATCAGAATCTCAGCCGTTCATGCCTATGGGTACGTGTGGGTACCAAAACATTCGCCGGGGCGGATCGTTGGGGCTGCAGCCCCGGTCGTGGGCTACACGCCGTCCTGGTGCAGTACGACTGCATGCATGCAATAACCGGAGTCCGACGGTGCTCCCGTTCGGGGTCCGGCGCCGTCTCGGCATCGCGAGCGGACGTGCAGCCTCGTGTGGAGCTAGCCGGTGCATGCCGGCCGTATGGACGGCGTGTTTGGACTGCGGACGTGCCGGTGCGTTGGTGGGCCAATTTTGGTCCCCACACAAAAGCAATCAGGATTCAGGATCGGTGAAGGCGTATTGCTTATGGACTGTGCCTGCCTGCCCAGTGCCCGCCCATAAAAACCGTTCCGTCGTTGAACAGCCCCCGGCCCGCCGCCGCGCCTGGAGCAACACAACACAGATCGATCGAGATGGCAACTCCTGACTGCGATTATGGTGTCACTGTTGATCTCGAGAACGGTTGCGGCGGCCTCGATAGTGCCCAGCAGAACCGCGGTAGTGCAGCATCTGACCCCGTGAGCACCTCTCCTCCTTCAGTCGCGCGCGTCTTTAATCTGTTCATTGTCCACTTGTTTTTCAATTGCGCGCCTGGTCTATCTCCAAAACATTGGCAGCAGTACGTGTCTCTGTTTGTGTTGTTCCATCCAGGGTCAAACAAACCTAACTTGTTTGCGTTGCGCAGGCCCCATCGATGGTGTCGTTCACTCTCTTGTACTACCTTGTCTTCATGTTCTACCTGATCGGCTTCTCTAACACCTGGTGGCATGCCGCGTTGGGTATTGCCGTGGGGACGGCCTTCCTTGTGCTGTCCTGCTGCCTGGATCTTTCAACACCGCGAGAAAAGCTTTCGGACGACTCTAGGCTGTGTGAGCGCCTCTTCCTCCTGCTCATCCCAAACTCGTTTCTTTCTTCATACCGTAGTTCAGTTATTTTTCACGCGGTCAATCACCTCATCTGTCGGTTTAATTTTTCTCACACGATCGATACATGTTACTTCTTCGGTTCCAAATTATAAGACGTTTTTGGCTTTTCTAGATCCATTCATAGTTTTTGCTACACACCTAGATAATATATATATAAGGAGAGTATATTCAGTAGTCAGCTACAAAATAAGTTATTCTGTAGCCACCTCCATTTACGATAATTTTATATACTAATTTACGATAATGTCAATACATATTTACGATAGTTGGGTTACTATAACACATGGGGATATTTACCATAACGTTACAGTAAACCACTTAGCAAGGAGCTACTATAATATCGTAAATTAACATAGTAATTATCGTAACTCAAAGTAGCTATAGAATAAGTTATTTTGTAGCCAGCTACAGAGCAGTAGTTCTATATATATATATATATATATATATATTAGAAACTATGAATCTAAAAATGACGAAACGGCGTACGTCGTATCATTTGGGAGTGAGGAAATACTATGCTTTTGCTTTTGTTTCCTCTAGATTATTTATCTCTTTGCCCCAGCTGGGGGTGGGTGGGATCGGATGGGAGGTGGGGGTTGCAATGTTGCCATAGGATTCGGGGTGCAACGCGGGTAACA